AGGAATAATGTCTACTCTTAATTTAAAAACAGTAGTTAAGATTATGTATATCTTTATCTTCATAAGCTTTAGGTATTAGGATAGAGTGAACCAGTGGTCAAATAGTAGACTAAAAGCTAAATTAAATTGAGTCCCAAGTGTGAGATTCTGTTTTGTTTTTTGCCTTTTGTTTTCAGAACCCCCCAAACAGATACACTGAGTCCTTTTAGGGGTTGAGTTGTATAACTCAGCCCCTCTTCAGATATTAAAGTCCTAAACCATGTTACCTCAGAATGTGGCCTTATTTGAATTTAGAATCATTGTATACATGATTAGTTAGGATGAATAGGTAAGTCCCTACTATAGTATGCCTCCTTATAGAAAGAGGACGTTCAGAGATAGGGAAGACCATATCAGCACAAGCCATCACAAGTCAAGGAGAGAAGGAAGAGTAGATCTGCATAAGGACCAACAATAGCAACACCTCGATTTCAGACTCTTAAGAACTCTAGAACTCTAAGAATACATTTCTGTTGCCAAAGGCACCTAGTTTATGGCACTTTATTATGGCAGCCCAAGCAGACTCCTACAAGTCCTGATTTTTTTACTTATTGTAAAAATCTAAATCTTAGGAAAATCAACTTGTGAAACTTTATGCTGAGAACTAGTTTGTGCCATATGCGGTTCTGGCTAGCCTGGAACTTGGACCCTGGCCTTGAATTCATGACAGTCTTTCCTGCCTCCACATCTAGCGTTATAGAGATTACAGTTCTGTGAGGAATTTTACAGTGTATGGTTATGAAGGTTTGGATTCTTGATGAGTCGTGTTTTAGTCAGTTGCTAGTCAATCCATTTTAGAAAGGCAGTTTATCTTGAGCCCAGATCAACAACTGGAGTTAGTGGAGTCATTTCCTTTCCATTTATGGTAATAAAGGCCAAGAGTCTTTCTAATCACCTGAAATGCATTCTCTAGATGTATTTTATCTATATAGCTTCAGGCTAAAAGTTTGGTAAAAACCTAACTATCTGTATTCCTATGAACACACCAGTTTATTATATATAAGTTAATAGTACCCTGAAGAAGTAAGAGGCAAACAGCTTTGACTATGCATCCCCATTTCACTGGACTAGAGATAAAACACTGCCATTCATCTATTGTGTATCTAAACAGAGCCAAGTGGATACATAAGCCAACTAAATAAAGCCAACAAGTTGAAGGCTGACTATATAGTATACGTACAGAGAACATGGACTTGGGAATCAGGTCCAGTTAGGGTTCTGTTACTTGTCTGTATGACGTGGTAAAGTATAGTTGTTCCTCATCTCTGAGGGGAATTGGTTCCAGGACTTCTGTGGATACCAAAATCTGCATATGTTCAAGAACCTTATATGATACAGCATGATAATTTGCTTATGTACACCCTTCCATATACTTAAAATTATTTCTAGATTAATCATACCTAATGGACTATAAATGCTATGTAAACAGTTATACCATTTAGGGAGTAATGACCAAAAAAAGTCTATATATGTTCATTACAGGCACAAATTTTTTCCATGTGTATGTGTGTAGGTTACATGCATGTGTGTGTGTATGTGTTCATATGTATGTTCATGTTTGTATGTGTGTGGGTTTATGTGTGTTTATGTACATGGGGAGGCCAAAGGTTGACATGGAATATCTTTCTTAATTGCTCTCTATTTTACTGAGGTAGGGCCTTACACTTGAGCCCAGAGCTTGCTGATTTTGCTAGGTCAGCTAGCTAGCTCTGGGGATCTGTTTTTACCTTCTAAGTCTTGGGATTAGAGGTGGCCCCTCATGCCCACATGGCATTTACATGGATACTCACAAGAAAAGGAAAGAGAGGGCCCAAGAACTAGTTCATTGGTTAAGGCACTTGCTGCCATGCCTGACAACCTGAGTTCCAACCCCAGGACCCACATGGTGGAAGGAGAGAACCAATTCCTGCACCTGACTCCCCCCACCCCAATGTAATTTTTTTTTTAAAGGGATGGGAAATTCAAATGCTTATACTTTGCTTTGGAAATTTTAATGTTTTCATTACTGCCTATGTGTATGTGTTTCTGTGTTTGACAATATAAATTTTGAGCCCTAATTTCAGTTTCAAGACTAATTTTACCACTTGAAAGTCCAGTTACTTCTGGCTAACTTCTGAAACAGGATGAAACATTTGGAAGTAGAACAATCTAAATGTGCTTTAAGGTTATTCCTTATAAATTTCAAAGCCTCGCTTTCTTGAAGGCAAGAATACTATCTGTTTAACACCCACGCTGTGTATTAAATTTCTGTAATTAAATATTATGATAGAAATGCAATTCTGTAAACATACTTCCTTAAAAGATTGGCACTGATTAGTATATAGTGAAACCATAAATAATTCAAATATATCATATTTACTTGGAAAATAGCAAAGTACCTGATGTTATTATCTATATACATGTATATGTGAGGAATCTTTTCTCACATTTAGGAAGATATACTTAATGGGGAAATGTGTAGTTAAACAGAATGTTTAGAGTTTTGAGGCATCTTCACACAAAGTATGTACTAAGTACAGAAGGAAAATGATAACTTTATGGTGGAGAAACTTGATAGACACCACGTTAGCTAAGTGATCAAAGTTAATATGTCCAACTTTGGGACAAATGAGTATGTGGGGGCCCTTAATATGATATATTTTACAGGATACAACATTACTTCTTTGGAATTTTTGTCAAAAATGCAAACTGGCTGGGCGTGGTAGTGTACGCCTTTAATCCCAGCACTCCAGGAGGCAGAAGCAGGTGGATCTCTGTGAGTTCAAGGCCAGCCTGGTCTACATAGTGAGTTCCAGGACAGCTGGGGCTACTGGGAGACCCTGTCTCAAAAAGACCAAACAAAAAATGCAAACTGATTCTAATCATGAGGAAATATTCAAATGCAAATTTGGGGATAGTTTATAAAACATTGACCTGTACATTTTCAAAAATGTTTAGATTACTAGGTGTGGTGATACAGGCCAGGCACTCAGGAAGCTAAGGCAAAAGGATTGCTTTGGGTTTGAGCCCTCCTGGGCTACATAGTAAGATTCTGTCTCAAACAACAAAATAAATAGGGCATTACTAAATGAAGCTTATGATCCTACAGTGGATCCTGAACCAACTTCTCCCCTGATTTTATTTTTCATTTGTGAAGAATCTTAGTGAGACAATTAGGGAAATGCGGATAAAGTCTATAGCTTAGTTAATAGTGTAGTATTAGTGTTGCTTTTCTGCTGGTGGCAATTGTATCTTTATAGAAGAAAATGTGTTTAGAAAATAAGAAAAAAATCTTTTGGGTTAAAGAGGCAGTACGTCTACCACTTTCAACAAACCAGTAAAAATTTCAAAAGACAACAGAAGTGGATCTGGTTAAATGTTAGAATTGAGGGATGTGAAATAAGATTGTATGAAAATCTTTTGGCATATTTTTGCACTTTTTCTAAATTTGAAATCATTTCAAATAACAAGTTTAGCGAAGTCAGGCATGGTGTCTTATACCTATCATCCCTATACCTGGGAACTTGAGGCGGGAGGATTGCCATGAGTTTAAGGCTACTGTGGGCTACATAGTGGGTTCAAGGCTAGCCTGGGTTATACATTGAGACCCAGTCTCAATACTTCCCCCCTTCAACATAACAAAAAAAGGAGAGTGTAGCTTAATTTTTTTTAAGTAAGTCACACTGGGTAGCCCTGGCTGGCTTTGTCTCAAAAAAAAAAAATGAACTGAAGAGATGGCTCAGCAGTTAAGAACACTGGCTGTTCTTGTGGAAGACCTGGGTTTGAATCCTAGTACCCACGTGGTAGCTAACAGGTGTCCATAACTCCAGTTCCAAGTGATTCAACAACCTCTTCTGTCCTCCACAGGCACTGCACTACACGGGTACGCTTACCTACATGCAGGCAATATATGCACACACATAAAAAATAAAAAAAATATGCACACACATAAAAAATAAAAAATAAGCCGGGCACATGCTTTTAATCCCAGCACTCGGTAGGCAGAGGCAGGCGGATCTCTGTGAGTTTCAGGCCAGCCTGGTCTACATAGTGAGTTCCAGGACAGCTGGGGCTACAGGGAGACCCTGTCTCAAAAAGACCAAAAAAATAAAAATAAAAAAATAAGCCGGGCGTGGTGGTGTGCCTTTGATCCCAGCACTCAGGAGGCAGAAGCAGGCAGATCTCTCTGAGTTCAAAGCCAGCCTGGTTTACTTAGTGAGTTCCAGGTCAGCTGGGGCTACAGGGAGACCCTGTCTCAAAAAGACCAAAAGAAAAATAAAATAAATTAAAAAAGAAAAAGAAAAAGGACAAGATTAATTATTAAAGTTTATATGTTAAAGATTTATAGTCCTTATAGCCTAAAAAGATTGTCAAAATGCAAGTAGTGGAGCCAGGTATGGTGATGTACACTTGTAATTCCAGAATTTCAGAGACTGAGTTCAAGGTCAACCTGGGCTACATAGTGAGATCCTATTTCAAAAAGCTAACACAAACACATACCAACTCCACCCCTCTCCACAAAATAAACAGAACAAGTAGCTGATGATGTAGAAACTAAGTTGCGTTAAACTGTAAAATAGGATTGGGTATAGGTCAGTTGTAGAGCTTTGGCCTAGCATGCAGTAGGCCCAGGGTATAATCTCCAGCACTAAACTTAAAGACGAGTAAATAAAAATGAAGTATCAAATGTTTTTCTTTTCTTTTCTTTCGTTTTTTTTTTTTTTTTTTTG